TTTATCACTAATGTGTGTTGAGTATAAGGTGACGGTTGTTTCTGTGGTGATTATGAAAGCTGGTTGCAGTATAGCCTACAAGCGGTGTCACAGATTCGACATGAAGACAGGAGGCAGCTATTGAATACCAGTGGAGGGAGCAAAAGAGGAGTGACCCGCGAGAAATTGCAAACAATCAGTACGGCAACATGCAGGGCGATGTTGACTCGGCATCACTATATTTGCATGTATGTCGTGCATTATTTATGTGGCGAATGATAGTGGTTTAAGAGATTTTTATTTTATCTATGTCACTCTTAAGTAAAGAACTTGTCTGCACATTTGATCATGTAAACAAGTATACATAACAAGTCAAAATGAAGGCAGCAGAGGCTGAGATATCCTGAATTGTAATCCCCCTGGTATGGGTCAAGCTCCAAAAGTGCTGGATCTTCACAACACTTCCCACAATGCAACTCAGTAGCATCTATCGTTATCGAAAACTGCTCATATTACATAGTATAATACTGTACACTGTTTGTATGTTACTGTATGCCAAACAACAATGTTTTGACCCCTCTTCTTGCACGTCACGTTGTTGTGCTCACTTCCTCCACATCCCAACTGTGTACAGCCCCACTCGCTTTCTGTAGTGTATTTTAGATGTGAAGTGGCCTAAAAACTGAATTTTATAATGTTGGGCTACAGCGACAGCCCATAAAGACAGTCTCCAACATTAACTTACACACATGTTTATGTTTACTGTTGGTCCATGCTGCAGTATGCTACAAGCTAGCAGCCTAGCCCGCATCGTGAGCAGCATAAAATTATACTAATGGTGCTAATTTCGGTTTGCATTATTGGAATCCAGTAGTTAAAGTACGTACAATATGTAGTTAGCATGAAGGATCACTTTTATTTTGTCAACTCGATCACTTCTTTTCGCAAGTTTGGTTTCGCTACTTTCAAAGTTTTAGAAGTAGTCTGAGCCAAAGTACCTGAGCATGCTGGTTCCAGCGGTAAACACACACTCATATTTTACATGAATATACAGACAGAATGTACTTTGCTCCCACTATCCATTCGTGTAGACCACATTTCGCCGACCAGTGTAATATCACTTTTTACAAATACGTTCACAGTAACTAATATTATCTTTCTTTCAACATACAACTGAACAAATCATCAACATTTCAAAACAAAGTGGTGATTTGTGATGGCAAAAACAGGTCTTAGATGTTCAGACCGAATATCACCCAATTTTCAATTAAAAATCAATGTTGAAATCCTGGTTGGTGCTCATTGGGCCAGTTTGTACTGCAGGATTTCCTTTAACAAGAGTCTACGGTCATGCTAGCACCTAAGCTAAATGTTAACATGCTAACATTGACAATGCCAACATGTTCCTGTTTAACAGGTATGATGTTTACCATGTTCATCATTTTCTTTCAGCGTGCTAGCAAGCTAACATTTGCTATTTAAAAAAAAAAATGTAATAAGTAAACATAAAGTATAAGTGTGACTTTTTGCAGGTATTTGGTCATAAATCAAAGCATCAGACAAATTAGCTGTACTTTGTGTACCAAATGACAAAAAATATATATTAACTGTTATTAAACATAATGAAAGTATCAGGCTAAGACAACATTATGCAGCCAGCCTGGAAAGAGTGGGCAGTGGTGCGGTAACTCATCAAAGAGCCAGGCTGACGCTTTGGTAAGTCAAGGTCAGGTTAAACAGATGTTCTAATGAACACGCAGTGACACACAAGTTGAGGCCTGCAACACAGAGGTCACTGCACTCAGCGGTGAGAGGTCTTTGAGAGGACAGTTTGAGTTTGTGTGAAAAGTCATACAGTAGCCTACATACGCAACTATGAGAAAAGGAAAACTGTGATTCAACAGCTGAACAGACAACTGTGATTGTGAAAACTAATATTTCAAAAACAGCATAATGGTTAATAGGGGCTTTCAGTCGTCGTTAGATAAAGGTATTTACTTTTTTACCGCACCGTGTTTAATCTTGTTTTGTGGATGCCTTCAAAGGATTTTCTGCTGTCTTGTGATCCTGACCTTGGAATCCAGATGGACCTTGATATGTATTGTTGGAAAAGAGCAGCCAGGGGGAAATGTGAGCTTAATTAGATCTGGTAGTTAGACCTAATTACATGACACCAGATTAACAGAAATGAATGTTTTGATCTCCACTTTGAAGGAATCACATCTTTGGTTCTCTTTGAAGCAATTGCATTCCTGCCTTAATTGTTGTTTTCAATAATGTGGACAGCAACCAGTTTGAGCACTGGTGAAAGGATGCAACATACAGTAAATATCTCAGCATGCTTACTTATGCAAACAGCAGGTCCAGGGGTGAAAATCGTGACTCATTACATCCTGTCATACACCCCCTGTTTACTGTCAGTCCGCACAGGAAAGTGTGATTCCTCAAAACTTAAGTAAATGCTAAAAGAGGCTGAAATACCCCCTGAGTTGATCTTTGTGCACCTACGTTTGATAAAAGGTCACAACGAAGCACAAGAAAAACCCACCAAAGAATGAAACATGCCTGATAAGTCACCTTCTTTTAGTAAACACTGATAACTCTTGACAACAAAACAATGCTCAACCGCACATATTCTTTGTCATCATTTCTTTGCAGATAGTCTTCACATGACTGATAGCAGAAATTACAATCTTTTGTTTTCTGCACACACAGAAAATACTTGAACCTTCACAGCTTTAAAGTTTCAACATGCTGTCAGCAGTTCATTTTGATGATTATATCCGCAAATGCACACACTCATACAGATTAAAAAGACATGTGTGGACTGTACAAACAAATGGCCATGCAGAGGTGTGTGTTTGTGTGTGTGTGTGTGTGTGTGTGTGTGTGTGTGTGTGTGTGTGTGT